TGACTAGAGATATATTTTGTCAAAGTTATATGAGATTTAACGCAAGTATAGGAGATATAAAGTTAAAATGCTGATGTATACCCTTTAAAATGACATCATTTTGTCATCAGCAATATATAGCTTGATCTTATAGAAAAGCATATTTCAATGTAGTAGTAAATAACATTGATAGCCTATAAATTAATATTAAACATTTATATCAATTTATTGGAACAACCTCTTGTGGCTTTTCCTAAAATTTATAGGGTATAACAAGTGAATATTTAGTTTTCGCGCACACAAAACCCAAAGCCAAAGCATAAAGAAAGGCGAGTGTATACAGGAAAAAAAATGCAAATAGACAACAAAAAGAAGAAGCAGGAAATGTGGAAGCTGAGCACTCGCAGCTCAAAAGTTGAGAAGAAAATTGCATTAGAGGCGCGCAGACAACGAAATAGAAGCACGTAGCAGTTGAAATGGTACAGAGATCGGGCAGGCCATAGACAATTGTGTGGCGAGGCTAGAAACAGAGGCAGAGGGAGAAACTGACTTTGCCATATGGTATGCATATCTATCAGGAAAACCATTTAGGGGCGTTGTCTGTCTTCTGCAGTTCTGTGATTAAAGCGAGAAAACTGAAACTGTTCTGCGCCTTATGGCCATGAAAATCTTAAGCAAAAGCGCCTAAAAGCGACTTTAAAAATATGTATATAATTTACATATTTATAAGACCGAAGCTGCGGGGCTGACAGCCGACAACTGACAACTGCGAGTTAGCTATTTTAACAGCGACTGTCAACAGCTGTGACTCGCTGTGGCAGCCATTGTTGTTTTGTGTTTGTCTATTTGTTGCTGTTTGTCTTTCTACCTTCAAAAGAAGAAACCCTTTTGGGGCTTTTGTTTATTTTTGTCACACTTGTCGCACGGCCAGCCACGCCCAAGTATTTTGACAATAACATTGAATTTTTATGACAACACGTTTAGTGCTTGAAGCATAAACGACAAATGCTTGTGGCTGGAATGGGCGAATGTTTTATGCAAATATTTGGCCAATGGCATAAAGTTTTATTGGCAATGCACAAGCAGGCAGCAAGAGGAAGCATATGGCAAACAAAAAAAAAAACAAGTAAGAAAGCTCCAGTCGAGACTGCTCGACTAGGAGAT